CCCCAAAACCCCAAAACCCCAAAACCCCAAAACCCCAAAACCCCGGAATTTAGAGGCAAATTTATAATTTATTATTCTAAATCTTTTAACATGAACGAAGTGACTGAGGTGTACACCTTTGGACAAAATAACTATGGAGAACTTGCTCTTAATGATAACAAAGAAAGGTTAGTCCCAACTTTAGTTGAGAATTGAAAAGACATGAATATTATTTCAGTAGCAGCAGGAAATGAGCTTACACTTGTGCTTACCGAATCAGGTCAGGTCTATTCTTCAGGATTCAATGAACCTGGGGCTTCCAGTGTAATTAATAATTCCTACGCTTCAGCTCATAGTAGTGTTAACACTCTTAAGCTTGTGGAGAAGCTGGATAAACATATTGTGAAGATATATGCTAATAATGGCTGAGAACATATTATAGCAATTAGTTCGCAAGGGGAGGTATTTGCTATGGGTTATAATGCCAAAGGCCAGCTCGGTATTGGAGATACAAAGTTTACATCAACTCCAACACCAATCGCTGCTTTTACATCTAAATTTGTGACCACAGTCGGTTTGTCTTATTATCATACTGTGTTCTCGTGAGGAGATGATCTAGAAACTTATTCTTGTGGAAGGAATGATCATGGTCAACTTGGCTTATGACATACAAAAGATATAACAGAGCCAACCTTGTTAGAAACACTTCAAGGAAAGAAGGTCATATCCATTGGCTGTGGACAGTACCATACTCTTCTGGCAACCAACCTGAGCGAAGTATATTCATTTGGAAGGAACGATAGCGGCCAACTTGGGCTATCCTACAAGGTGGATTCTAAAAATACACCTACTAAAATTGAAGGAATGTTCAGCTCAAAGGTTTCATGTGGTTACTATCATTCTTTAGCCATCACATCAACAGGGAAGCTGTACTCTTGGGGAAGGAATGACTCTGGTCAACTCGGCCATCCGGACAAAAGCAAGCATTTTGAGCCCACTAATGTGAAAGAATTTGATGAAACCGAGGTTATTGACATTGCGTGTGGATGATATCATAGTTTAGCACTTACTTATGACTATAAAGTATATACTTTTGGAAGAAATTGTCACGGCCAACTTGGAAATAATACAAAGATTTCAGAATTCATACCTACTCAGCTAAAGGAGATCGAGCATCGAAAAGTCATTCAAGTGGCAGCTGGATTCTACCATTCGGTTCTACTAGTGAGTCAATCTCAAGAAGATGAGCTTGCCAATGACCTTAAGAGTTTGCTGAATAACCAAGAGTTCAGTGATATCACATTCGTAGTTGAAGGTAAGAGAATCCATGCTCACAGGTGAATCCTAATGGCAAGAAGTGAACCTCTACAAATGATGGTCAATGGGCCTATGAGGGAAAGCTACGAGGAATCGATTGTGATTGAAGATGTTACGTACGACTGCTTCAATGCCTTCCTCCAGTTCTTGTACACTGATGAAGTGCCTGCACTTCGTGAGAATGACATTGACGTAGAGATGGTCATCGAGCTGATGTCCATTGCTGACCAATACCTTGTTGATCATTTGAAAATCTTATGAGAGAAGGCAATTGAGAGAAACATCAAGGTTAAAAATGTAATTTTTATGCTCAACGAAGCATACAAGAGAGACATGATTTCTTTGAAAAAGAAATGCATTTCTTTTGCATTGAAGCATTTTTCCGAGGTAATTATCCAGAATGATTTTCTGGACCTCCAGAAAATCATCCTCAAGGATATATTCAAGAATGCTTCAAGGAAAGGAGTCTTTGTCAAAGATGTTTCTGGCTAAATCGAATTATTTTCAATATCTGTTTAACTTAGTGGGGTTTTGGGGTTTTGGGGTTTTGGGGG